GTTTCACTTATCAATCAATCACATTTTATTTGTATAATAATAATAATAATTGAGTCGTTTTTTGAATGTCCAGAGGGATGAGGCATTGCAAATCTCCATTGGCAGAGTATTTCACAGGGCTGGGGCCACTATGCTGAAAGCTCTGTCCCCAAAAGTCTGCAATTTTACTGTTGGTGAGCAGCCTCTGGTTAAAGGATCGTAGATTCCTGGACATTTAGCCCATGCTTTAAACGTGGCGAGAAAAAAAAGAAGAAAGACACATGTTTGGGATGAATCTCCCATTCCCTTTAACAGCCAGGTGAGCTTGTAATAAGAGAGAACACTTCAGTTTGGGCACAAGCAGATAATCTGTGACAGATTATAAACACATTGTGTAGCTACCCATGTAGAGGAATATCTTCATAATGAGCCTTAACATAACAATGACTTATTGAGTCACTGACTTCAAATCATGTATGACTTGAGCTGCCATATCTTTTTGATTGATTTGATTGTGAGGATTGCAGCACTTTATATTACCTGCAATGGGAGGGCCCACGGTCATGGGCACGGACATCAGGCCCAGCAGGAAGCCGATGGCCTGAGACACATCTTTATCCCCAACCAGCTCGAACGCGATGGGAGCCATGATGCAGATGAAGCAGCCGTCGAACAACCCCATCAGCAGGCACACTGCAATCAGCCCACCAAAGATGTTGCACAGGGGGATCATCATGGACATGAGGCCAATGACGAAGAAGGAAGTTACCTGAGAGGAGGTGAGAAAATATCAAGAAACATTTTCCTCTTGACCATTATTTTTTTGCATCTCACAACCAAGGGAAATGGAATGTATTTACAAGGATCTTTGGCTAATTGGCCACTCACAGCACTTTACAATAAAACTTAGAACATATCATATCATATATCAAAATAGCCTTTAAAAACCCCTACTGGTTGAACATGGCACACCATGCAAACTGGATAGTATAAGGGAGACACATTAGTCCTGATAGCTATTATTTGTTTTAAGCATGTTGTTGTGACAGGTGTCACCAGGCGCTCACCTGCAGGTACACTTTGTTTACTCCATTAACGTAGTCTGCCGCTCTGCCAAAAATGAGACGGCCCACACAGGAGGTGATGCCAATGCACATGAGCAGAACCTCTTTACTGGCATCTTGTCCAAAACGTTCCTCAACGTGCTTCATCTGTGGACAACAAAGGAAACGGATGAATGCAGCTGTCGCATGGCTCTAATCAAAAGAATTCAGAAAATGGGGAAGAGGAAAGAGCAAAAGCAAACACAGAGGAGTACACAACCTAAGCTTTAACTTTCCAGTAAGTCTCAATCTTAATCTCCTTTTTTTATATAGTGAACAAATTCAATTCAATTTTATTTGTATAGTGCCAAATCATAATAGACATTATCTCAAGGCATTTCACACAGAAGCTCAAGACCTTAAAATCTTATTAATATTGAGAAACCCAACAGTTCCCACAATGAGCAAGCACTTTGATGCTGTGGAGAGAAAAAATCCCTCATTAACAGGGAGAAACCTCTAGAGCCAGACTCTATGTGGGAGTTCATCTGCCTCGACTGGTCGGGGTGAGCAGAGAAAAGAGGGGAGAGAAATGACTAGATAAAACTGAAAAGGAGGAGAATATTTATACACAGTGATTTATACAGTATTTGCTGAACACTTGTCATGAATGGTATGGTAATCATTCTGCATACTTTTGAAAAGTTAATCTCGGTGTAATCATAGCTGAGGTTTTGGCAGAGCTGAGGGCGACTTCAGCGATTCCAAGAAGTCCCCAGTTTTCCAGACAGAGTGGTGCCTCCCCCTGCTCTGTGTGCAGGACTTTGCTGTTGTTATCTACGACTGTACATAAAGATGGAAGACATGAATGCTGCCAATTTCAAATCCCTACTCCACAGACATCCAGAAGACATCTGCCTAACATATTTAAGCTCCAAAGACACATGGAGACACGTCATCCTCTATAAACATTACCTAGTTACAACACTCGTGTCAGACTTTCAATGTTCCTCATTGTGTTTAATCTAGTTCCCACTTCAGACCGTGAGAAAAGCACCCCAGATGTGTCCTTCCCACCCCAAGGCACCAATCTGTAAGGCTCAGAGTTCGTGAGGGAAAGAGGTGCCGGCTGTGTGAACTACTGCCAGCTACTTCTACCTCCAGGCAATTTGTGTCTGTCCTGCTCAAAGAAGCCAGAGAGTCTCCAGCCTTTGTGGTCCCCCTCACCACCCCCTATACCCCCTGATAATCACTCGAGGTGACTTATCTTTGTCACAATGCCACAATACGATGCTCTGTATTCAGAAGTGTCCTGCTCAGAGGGGCTTCTCTCACCCAAGAAGCAGTTTGACACTGGGGCATACATGCATCGGCATGAGCATCAGCAGAGGGACGGATGATACACATGATCTCAACAATCCCTTTAATGGGTAAAAACATAGAAACCTGTGAGAGGGAGGCACAAGTCATATTATCCTGCATGTACTGTATGTGGACTGTGGCGGGCAGGTTCAAACCCAGAGAGGCGTCAGTGCTAATCACTGCATCACCATGTAGCCCACACTCTCACACATTACTTACTATTTCTTCACACCAGCACGGTCAAACTTTGTACAAATGTAAAATGTATTACTTTGCTTAATCTTAGTTTTTCTTCTGGATAAGAAGTTGGGTGGTTTTTCATCTGTAGGAGTTCACTGTGGTGCCAAGTGTTGACGGTGTAAGAGCTTCAGCAGACCACGATAGTAATGAATCATTATTAGTAATGACCAAGCAAGGCAAACGCATGCAACCAAAACAGCACATATCTACTGCCCATATGATAAGATCCTTCTGGTCAACTGGATAAGACACACTGTTCCTCTGCTCCTTCTGGTCAACTGGATAAGACACACTGTTCCTCTGCTGCGACATAACGCTTGCTAATCTTTGTAATGACATGAGGTGGTAATCCATATAACATGGCCTCTGTGTAAATGCTTATGGGTTTTCAGGCAGACGCAAGAAGAAGTACTGAACTCCCTGACGCATTCACACACTGCATCAGTTATGTCTGTTATGTATTCGAGGCTTACTGTGAGGTTGCAGGATGGTGCTGTGTCACGCGTTGAGTTGTTACAAATAAAAAGAAAGAAAATTAAAGTGCACCTTTGCTCCTCCTCGTCTTTAATCAAATCAGATCGTATAGATTGAGCCGTGCTTGCACCACCCAAGCTCCAGTCTGATTTTGGCATTCAGACACAAGCTGATCAATCCCGACGAACTATCAGTCTTTCTCCAAATACTACTACTGTCACCAAAATTACAATACACTGACAACACTGATAAAATGCCAGACAAAGACATTGATTTACAAATACTTACAACAGTATTATATTTTAAATGACCGATGAAACATGTTTGCTTATCAGACCAGCTTTAAAAAGCACCGCAGACTAGAACAGGATGTCGTTTGGATGTTTGCTTTTTAAAGGGCGTACGTGTCTGTCATCATGTTTTCAGGAGCCCAAGCTCACTTCATGTGATGCAACGTGCCTGGCAGAGGGACATGTGCCATAGAACATTTATAACCCTGGGGACATTGTCTCTGTTAGCACATGAGACAATGACCAATTTAAAAAATCTAGGTACATGCCAAACTAAATTTTTCTTAAGGAAAAAGTGGATACCACAGACTTGACTACACAGCAGTGATCAATAACAGTAACATTCTCATGCAGCAGTTCTTGGCTGCTTAGTGGTCATTAAACATGTAGCGCTCTTCCAATCCACACACCACAGCCCTGTAGGGTGCTCCTCAATAAACACAGTGAATCAAGCTTCCACTAAAAACAAAGGCAGCTTTGAAAAAAAAAAAAGTACCTTTGTGTTCTGCTAATGTGAATACTTCATGATTCAGACATGCTGATTCAGCAGGGGACATGTGTGGCTGATAAGATCAAACTTTATGTGTTGATTATTTTTGCAAAGTAAGCATGCAGCAGAGAGTCTATTCATATTCTTTTACTACTCTGCCCTCTCCAGTGCCACACCTTTTATCAACCCATTCACAGAGCAAACTGTCATAACAAGGCAGGCAGGTCAACATTATGTCAAATCAGCAAGACTCGAGAAGAGTGTGTGTTCTTTCCCAATTGGACTTTACTCTGTACAGCTTTATGAAGAACGACAAAAACACACACACACAGTTGGGGCTGTGCTCCTCTGAAAGGCTGCACTAAGCATTTTGTTTAAAGAACGCTCACTCACTCACTCACAC